CCGCGCAGGCACTTGAGCAGGAGGCCTCGCTGCCGCGGGGTGCACCCGGCCCTGCCCTTCACTATATGCGGGCCAGACAGGTCGCGGCCATCATGTCGACCCCCTGGGGGCATTGCCGCAGGGGGCCGAGGTCGCGCGTGGACTCGGGGATGCGCCGCGCATGGGCGCGTCTCTAGGACGCCAGGGTCGTCAACCCCTAGTATTTCGGCGCCCCGGTCATCCCGCGCGCAGCGGAATCGCGGCCAGGCCCAGTTGAGTTGGGCGACTGTCTGCCAAAGGCCCCCCATCATGGGCCAAGATCCACGCTGGGTGTGGACGGCGTGGTAAAGGCGTTGGGCCATGCCCCCCAGCCACCCAAGTTTTCGGCGAATCTGGCGGCGAACAACGAGGAGACTCTGTGCGCGATGTCCCGGGGGTCGCGTGCCTGCCCAGCGGCGCACGCGGCGGGGCGCTGGCAACCAGCGACCGAGCGGTCTTGGCTTTGCAAATCCATGCCCTCTGGCAGTCGGGCCGGCCCCGCCCAGCTTCGTCTCGCGGTGGACGCGAAGGTTAGGAGGAGGACCGAGTCCTAGTCGTGAAGGGCCGCTCTCAGGGCCCACCCAACCGACTTTGCCAGGGTGGATCTCTTGAGCAAAAGTCGATCGACGCGGACGGTCTCTCGCAGGGAGAGGTCGAGCTCGGTGGCAGCGGGGGCAGCGGAGATGCTGTCGCCGGGAAAAGTGATGCTGAGTGAACGAACGACGACTCTGCGCTGCTTGTTGGTCCAGACGCACATCAGCAGCTTGATGTCGCCCAAAGACCACGAGCTACCCCGCAGGTGGCTGCTGGCGCGGGCCAGGGGCGGGGAGTGCGAGCCCGCCGCGCGGATATACCGAGCGCGATTGTCGTGAAATGTTCGCCGCGCGCCGCGACGTCCGCGGGGCACCCCTGTGGAGGGCGGGCCGCGAGCCACGGACGGACGTCAGTGACGAGGCAGCTGAATCTGTTCTGCCAATCGAGGGCCGCTCCAACCAGCGGCATGGGACCGTCGCTTGCGCCAGGTGCCGAGGCTGCGATAGGGCTTCAAACATACCCCCAAGACGGCCCAAAGAGGCGCCCAGGAGGCCTCCAGAGGTCCCCCAAGCCCTTGAGAGGCATTCCTGAGGCCCCCAATGAAGTTTTCCAACGAGGAGCCTCCGCAAAAAGATCTGCGGCAGACGGGACATGGTTCGCAATGCCAGGCGAGAACGTGGATGAATATGTTTCTAAGCCGCCGAACAAGATACATATATATATATATATATATATAGCCCTGCGCACCCACCAAGAACCCCCTTTTCTCATGGTTATATATGGATTTATATATGATTCCTACGATTTTCGGACTCACTGTTGAGGCTCTTTTTTGGAAGACTGTTTGGGCTCCCTTCTACTCAACTCCCTCCGTCTCCAACACAACGCCAATTACTCAACAGCCTCCTTCTCCAACACAACACCCGATACTCAACAGGCTCCCTCCCCAAGCTGAACTTGAACAGAACCTTCTACTCAACTCCCTCCGTCTCCAACACAACACCCAGTACTCAACAGCCTCCTTCTCCAACACAACACCCGATACTCAACAGGCTCCCTCCCCAAGCTGAACTTGAAAAGAACCTTCTACTCAGCTCCCTCCGTCTCCAACACAACACCCAATTCTCAACAGCCTCCTTCTCCAACACAACACCCGATACTCAACAGGCTCCCTCCCCAAGCTGACCTTGAAAAGAATATTCTACTCAACTCCCTCCGTCTCCAACAACACCCAGTACTCAACAGCCTCCTTCTCCAACACAACACCCGCTACTCAACAGGCTCCCTCCCCAAGCTGCACCAAGAACCCCCCTTTCTCATGATTATATTTGGATTTATATATGATTCCTACGATACTCACTTTTGAGGCTCTTTTTTGAAAGACTTGTTGAGCTCCCTTCTACTCAACTCCCTCCGTCTCCAACACAACACCCAGTACTCAACAGCCTCCTTCTCCAACACAACACCCGATACTCAACAGGCTCCCTCCCCAAGCTGAACTTGAAAACAACCTTCTACTCAACTCCCTCCGTCTCCAACACAACACCCAGTACTCAACAGCCTCCTTCTCCAACACAACACCCGATACTCAACAGGCTCCCTCCGTCTCCAACACACACATGTACTCCAGATCCTGCCACTACAACACGACGCGACACCCGAAACTCCAACCGCAGCCGCCCCCCTTTTTTCTTGGCATCTTCCAAGAGAAAAGAGGGGTTCATGGTGGGTGCGCCGGCCTATATATATATACACACATATGTGTATATCTCTCTCTCTCTCTCTATATATATATATATATATTCATATATATATATATATATATATATATACACTTATACGGCCGGGCACCCCCGGAAAAAGCCCCACCCCACACCCCTAACGAATTTGGCCCACCCCGGGCTCATGGGCAACCCTCGAGGCGACCTGGGAGACCCCCACGAGAGCCCGAAGACGGCCTCAAAGGGCTCCAGGCGTTCCGGCGCGCTCCCGAAACGACCACATAGAGCCCCAAGACGGTACACGACGACCCCAAAGAAGCCGTCATACCCCCAAAGATCGTTCTAAGGAGTCCCAAGAGCCCTCCATGCTCCATGAGCACTCCCAAGAAGGCCCCAAAAGGCAAAATTCATTGATTTTCTTATGGTGTTTAGTGAATTGTGGGGTTCTCCTCTCTTCGGCTTCCCGATGCTTCAGGACGGCGATCTTCTGGGCGTCCGAAGCCGCCTGTGAGGCTCGAAAATCGCCCCACAACCATCCGAAAAGACTTCCAGGCAGTCAAAGAGAGCCCCAAGACTGCACAACAGGGTTCCAAGATGGTCTAAGAGAGCCCCATGACGGCCCAAGATGGCCCCAAGACACCCTCCGAAGCAGTCCGAATCGTGACCTGGTCGTTCAGGGAGACCGCGGCTGGAGGCAGGGTGGCCCGATGAAGCCCCAGAAGACGCCCAGGAGGCCTCCAGAAGGCATTCAAAAAGCCTGAAGAAGTTTTATGAGGCCCCCAGAGGCTCTCCAAGGAGGAGCCTCCACAAAAAGAGCCGAGGAGGATGGGGAGAATACGCAGGGAATGGCGAGAATGAGGAAACATAAATGATGAGGACGGATAGCGAATACCATTATTTTAACGGCGAAGCCGGAAAAGGCAACAACAAATTATCGCTAAACTGTCGTTTTGACCTTCCTGCTTTTCCGCCTGCATGCCAAACTTCAAGGACCAAGGTGCATGGCGCGAAGCGCCAATGCAGTCTCAAATGTATGTGTATACATATATATATATACACGTGTATAATATGTATTATATGTATATATACACACATACATAAGCACGTGCGGACCCCCTCCACCCGAAACCGGATTCCCGGCGTCTGGGGTTCCTGGACGCCCCCTTCAGAGGGACCCGCGAGATTTCCAGGCCTCTGGAAGTCTCTGCCAAGCCGTGCAACCGGGTCGGCGGCGGTCATAAGAGACCCCCAAGACGGTCCAATATGGCCCCTGGCGGCCCTGGACCCCCGCCAGACGCCCGAAGTCGGCCCAAATATCACCCCTAAGAGGCTTTCGAAACGCAGAAGAAAATGACTACCCATGGTTTTTGTTGAATGATTTGGAGCGATTCGGTCATTCGGTCTTCTGGGCGTCCTCCAGAAGCTCGCCTCGGAGGAGCCTCCGCATACAAGTCTGAGGAGGACGGGAAAAAGTTTCGCGGGACAATTAAGGCGAGAACGGGTAAGAGGAAGAGGAAGAGGAAGAGGACACCTGAGGAAATGAGAAGGAACAACAAGATGAGAACGGTGATGGCGAACACTTTTACTAAGAGCGCTCGTTGTTTCGATTGATCAACCTCTCTCTCTCTGTCTCATGTTGCCTGCAAGTTAGAGGTGAGGGACCAAGGTGCATGGCGCGAAGCGCCAATGCAGTCTTTATATATACATATGTTTGTACACCGGTAACTACAAATACACGGACATACTTGTGTATATCGAGAGGTGGCAAACAAAGTAAGCAAAGAGAGAACGACAAAGAGAGAGAGAGAGAGAGAGAGACAACAAGGAGGGGAAGGACAGGGGGAAGGGTCAGGATAGGGGTGGGCAAGACGAGGGAGTGCAGGGGCATGCTAGGGATCTCAAGGGGAAGGGGGCACAGGGAAGAGGGGAGCCAGGGGAAGTGTAGAGAAGAGGCGGAGACATGGGGGGAGGAGGTGGTGAAGAGTGTGTGGGGGGGAGGGGCAGAAGTTGAAAAGGCAGAGAGACGGCGAGACAAGAGCAGAGCATATATATTTCCTAGCTTTCGCGGTCTTTGGCGCGGATCTAAGTGAAAGCAGTCCTGAATGCATCGGCCACGTCCGAGGCTCGGCGGCGCTGGCCCCCTGGAGACCCAGGCCAGAGCCGAGCAACGGGCTCTGTGGACTGCAGGCTCCGGGGGGCGAGGGGAGGTGAGTTGACGGGGGGGAGGAGCACGGGAATGATAGGAAGAGGGAAGAGGGATGGGAGAAGGGAGGGGGCAGGCAATGGGGGGGGGAGGTGAGGTGAGTAGAGGGGGGGGAGCACGGGAAGAATAGGAAGAGGGAAGAGGGATGGGAGATGGGACATGGGAAGGCAATGGGGAGGGGTGATGTGAGGTGAGTAGACGGGGGCGAGGCACGGGAAGCACGGGAAGGATAGGAAGAGGGACGAAGGATGGGAGAAGGGACGGGGCAGGCAATGGGGGGAAGAGTGCAGGCAGGGAAGGGACGAGGGTGGGGGGGGGGGGGGGGACGAGCAGGGAAACAGGGGACGAGGAGGGGGGCAAGGACGAGAATGGGGGGGAAATGGGGGGTGGGCAGGGTGGGGGGGGGGGGGCAAGGGAGAGGAGGACAGGGAGACGTGCAGAGGCGCGGCATCCCGAGTGGGAGGGCCGCCGCTGCCGAGCTGCGTCCGCGCACGCCTTCTGGCGCACGCGCGCTGGCGGCGGCGCGTCCCAAGCAGGTGCCAGCTACAGGCCGCGCCACAATGGCGTGCTCTTGCCATCGCTCGGGCGCCCATTCCCCGTGCATTCTTCGGTTTCGTGCGTGGCTTTTTGCTCGATGGTCCGGGATGCTCCTCGACTGCCCTCGCCGAGAAAAACAAAGCACAAGTCCGAGCGATGCCAGGTGCTTAGGGGTACGAAGAGTGACATAAACCTAAAAACTCAGAGGTCCGCCCCTGGCGCGCTCCGCGCGCCAAGGAGGGGGGTCCAGCGCCGATCCGAGAAGTCCGCGCGGACCTCCGCGTTCTTATGGTTATGTCACTCTTCGCTCCCCTCCCTGATGCTGGTGTGCCCTCCGCTCCCCTCCCACCCCCTGCGGAGAAGCTGGCGGTGACTGCACGGTCGGACCCAGGACAGAAAAACATCCTTCAAGAACACGAGACCTTCAGAACATCCAAGGGCACCCTCCCCCGGATGCACAAGAGCATCCAACGAACACACAGAACATTAGCGGTACCCTCCCCGATCCGACCTCGATCTTACACCCTGGCCGGCCGTACCCAAACGCTTGAAAGACCGCAGTTGGGTTCCCAGAGCTCCCTGGGATACCCCATTTCCAGGGGTGGCCTGCTGGGAGACTGGCCTGCCCACACCTCCAGCGAGAACTGTACACCTCTCCTCTTCCCTTACCCCCTGCCCCTTCCCTCTCCCCGAGAGGATTGCAAGAGCGGCCCCGAGACCCAAGTCTTCTAAGATTATGTTGGTCAACCTCTTGCGTCTTACCTGTGGATCCAAGGGCCATTCAACAACCCCGTCACACTCCAAAGATGACCCCCCCCCCACACTCCCTCTCACCTGCCCCCATCCGTCCCTTCCCCTTCCTCCCTCCTGCTCTGTCCTCCTCCCTCTCACCCTCCTCCTCCTCCTCCTCCTCCTCATCATCATCATCACCATCACCACCACCATCACCACCATAACAGTCACCAATTACTGTCACCGCCACCACTACCACCACTACCACCATCATCGGCATCATCATCATCATCATCATCATCATCAACAACAACAGCAGCATCTTCGCCATCATCATCGACACCACCATCATCGTCATCATCATCGTAACCATCATCCTGATCGTCATCCGCATCCTCATCCTCATCCGCATCCGCATCCTCATCGTCGTCATCATCATCACCACCATCATCATATTAATGATAATGAGCATCGTCGTCATCATCATCATACGCATCGCCATGTTCATCTTCATCATCATCCTCAGCATCCTCAGCATCCTCATCATCATATTCACCGTCATCATCGTCATCATCATCACCACCACACCATCACCATCAACATCACCATCAGTACCATCATCAGCAGCAGCATCATCAGTTTCCGCATCATCACCATCGCCATCGCCATCACCATCACCACCAGCCTCATCATCGTCAATCACCATCACCATCACCATCACTACCAACATCATCATCGTCACCACCATCCGCAACACAACCATCGCCATAACCATCATCAGATCAGCCATCGCAGACTTCGCATCGATCAGACGACTGACATGAAGTGGACAGGAGTGGATTGAAGTAGACTGGACTGGAGTAGACTGGGCTGGAGTAGGCTGGGCTGGACTGGGATGGACTCTGCTCCAGTCTACTCTACTCTCTACTCTACTCCAGTCTACGTTACCACTGTACCCTGCTCGACTCTGCCCTACCATCTACGCCAGATGGCGCAATCATCGCCTCCCCTTGGGTTGGGGTTGGGGGGGGGAGAGGGGCGCGAACCGTCGGGAGGGAGTTGTCTGGGGGGCGGATGGCAGCTTTGAAACTCAAGTTTCTGGGCCAGGGGGCGTGAGAAGTCCGAATGGCATGGGGGCTCACGAGCGCGTTTCTTTATGTTCGACGATGACGGGCGTCATGGGGGGGGGGGGGGCGAGGGGGGGGTATGACGTAACGCCCACCCCGCCGTGTGGCTCCGGCACCGCAGCCGCGCCCGTGCGCGCGAGGACGAGGACGACGACGACGACGACGACGACGACGACGAACACGACGACGACGATCACGACGACCACGGCGATGGGTGGGCATGGGGCTCGTGGGGGGAAGGGGGACCATGTCGGAAGGGCGCAGGGGTGGGGTAGACGTCTGGACGCGGGTTGAAGAGCGGTGGGGGTCGGGATGGGGACGCCCCGTCGAAAAAATGGTCGCCCCCAGCCCGATCACCATGCCATCTAGCGTGCCCTAATCTACTCGAGCTTGCTCTACTCGACCCTACCCTACCTATCCTACTCTACTCCACCCCTGTTGTACTCCTGCTCTAGTCTACTTTCCTCTCATCGCCTCTCCTCTCTTTTCCTCTGCTCTGCGCTACTCTACTCTACTCTGCTCTGCTCGGCTCTGCTCTACTCTTTCCTGTCTATGCATATATATACGCTTCTCTACGCTGCTCTACTCTACTGTGTCCTGATATACTCTGCTTCACACTTCAACCAGTGTTTGAGGATTGATGGGGCGCCACTCTCATAGCTACAGGAAGCCGTTGCAATAGCAGAGGAAACCATGCGGATAGAGAGGGAACCATGAGGATAGCAGAGGAAGCCATGCGGATACAGAGGAAGTCATGCGGATATCAGATGGAGCCATAAGCAATCAAGGAAACCATATTCAACAAACTAGCAGGGGAAACAATGCGCAAGAGAGAAACCCATTCGCAACAGAAGACGCGTGCAAGGGCAGACGAGAAAACCATTCGTACAGCAGGGGAAGCCAGGCTCAACCGAGGAAACAATTGACAACCGAGGTCGCGAGTAGGGGCAACACAGGGGGAGCAGTGGACCAGCTCTTTATGTAATTCGGCCAGGGATCAAGCCACTTCGGAAAAGCATGATCATCAAAACCATAATCAGTCTCATCATCTTCATCATGAGCATCGTCATCATAATCATAACCGTACTCACCCTCGCCATCGCCACCAACAGCGTCATCAACACCACCAGACTCAAACCCAACATCCTCATCATCACAACCATCATCACCACCATAAGCATATACTGGAAGACGATCAAAGAGCACAAAAACCCAGCCAGGACAGATAACACCGCATGACCCCCAACCCCCTGAACCAGGACATATCAGATAGCACGCGCGTCCGCTCTGATGACAGTCCATAGGGACAACACGGATGGGGGAACTTCAGATAGCACGCGCCCAGGAGGATGCAGGGCGGGGTGGCGGGGTGGCGCCGCCGCTCGAAACATCATCGCAGCCGCGGAGCCGCCGCTCGGGACATCCTCGCAGCCGCGGCGCCGCCGCTCGGGGCATCCTCGCAAGCGCGGCGCCGCCGCTCGAGACATCCTCACATCCGCGGCGCCGCCGCTCGAGACACCCTCACAACCGCGGCGCCGCCGCTCGGGACATCCTCACAGCCGCGGAGCAGCCGCTCGAGACATCTTCGCAACCGCGGGGCCGCCGCCGCAAATCACTCAGACTCAATCACATCACTGCCCCCCTTCAGACCTTGCGCCAGACAGATAGCGGGCGCCCAAGAGGAGGCAAGGGCGGGGCGAGAAGGAGGAGGGTGGAGGAGCCTTGACGCCAGTACCTCGGTTCCCAAAAGGCTAAATGGCAGCTGGCCCCACCCTGGAGCCAGTCAGGGTCGTCTTGGACGTGTATGTATGTATGTATATATATATATATATATATATATATATATATATATATTATATATATAGCTGTGTTGGGCAACTCTTGGGCCGTCGGGGGGGCCCAGAGCCAAGACGAAATTGCGAACAAGTCGATGTGTAGTGGATGTCTCGAGCGAGATAGCCGTTTTGACGATCTCAGGGCCCCCCTCCGAAATCATGTTTTGAGGATGTCTCGAGCGAAAGGGGCGGCACCCGGCCCGCGGCGGGCCGCGGCCCGCGGCCCGCCGTTGACGGCCAAAACGGCACTTGGCAGAAGGAGGGGGTGAGGATGATAATGAGGGGGGTCATCCGTGCGACGGAGCTCAACCAGCCCTCCTCACGCAGACGCAGCCACAACACTTCCTCACGCGGACTCAGTTGGACTCAGACTCGCCCGGACTCAATCACATCACTGCCTCACTCAGACCCTGCGCCAGACAGACAGCACGCGCCCAAGGGGAGGTAGGGGCGGGGCGAGAAGGAGGAGAGGCGGAAGAGCCTTGATGCCAGCAGGGCGGTTGCCATATGTATATATATATATATAGGTATACACACATACTTATATATGTATATATATATATATATATATATGTATATATGTGTATGTGTATATATATATATATGTAGATGTATACATTTATATCTATATATATATGTATATATATGATTGGCAGCTGGTCCCACACTGGAGCCACTTAAAGGTCCCGCTGGCGGCACGTGGGTCGTCATGGGCGTAGTTTAAGCTGCGTTTGGGACCTCTCGGGCCGCCGGGGGGACCCAGAGCCAAGACGAACTTGCGAACGAGTCGATGTGCAGTGGATGTCTCGAGCGAGAGAGCCGTTCTGAGGATCTCAGGGCCCCCCTCCGAAGTCATGCTTTGAGGATGTCTCGAGCGAAACGGGCGGCACCCGGCCCGCGGCGGGCCGCGGCCCGCGGCCCGCCGTTGACGGCCAAAACGGCACTGGGCAGAAGGAGAGGGTGAGGATGATCATGAGGGGGGTCATCCTTGCGACGGAGCTCTGGGTCATCCTTGGGTCGTCCTGGGCGTAGTTTAAGCTGCGTTTGGGACCTCTTGGGCCGTCGGAGCGAACATGTCATTTCTGAGCGCCCCCACGATGTCGCGATGCCCCGAGGGGGAGGGGGCGCACCAGGCAGATAGCACACTGCCCCGAGAGGGCGACGCCCTCGCTCCTCCTCCTCCTCCTCCTCCTCCTCCTCATCCTCCCCTCCTCCTCCTCCTCCTCCTCCTCCTCCTCCTCATCTTCCTCCTGCTGCTCCTTCTCATCGCTCCTCCTCCTCCTGCTGCTCCTCGTGCTCCTCGTCCTCCTCTCACTCGACGCGGGGCAGGAACTGCCCACACGTTTGTTCGTAAGGATACTATCCCCCTCGTGCTCCTCGTCCTCCTCATGCTGCTCTCGATCTCCTCGTGATCCTCCTACTCCTCCTCCTCCTCATCATCATCCGCCTCGAGTCCAAGCACAGATAGAGACCCACGAAACGGCAACACGTCTGTAAGAGGGAGAGGGGGGCGGCATCCGAACGCGGGCCAGAACCCAAGAGGGCCTTTCAGGGCGTCACTCACTGAGCTCACTAAGACCCCAGGGGTCTCCCCTGGGACGCGCAATACGCTTCAAGAGGCCCCCAGGGCAGCCAAGACGCTCCCAAGATGTCCCAAATGGCCTACGTCCAACAATCTATCACGAGACATCCGAAAAGACTCCGAGAAGCATCCAAGAGTCCTACGTACGTATACATCCAAATACTACGCGGACGCTGGCCCTGCACGGGGCGCGGGGCGAAAGCCAAAATGGCCCTCATGACTGCCCAAGAGGTCTCAAAGACGGCCCCAGAGGACGACCCCCCTCCCACGGGCGCACCAGGCAGATAGCACACGTCCCGACGGGGGCCACACATTCTAAGACGCGTTGGAAGGGGGCCAGGCAGATATCACACCGAACGGGGCTTTGGTCGCCCATAGACGCGGGCCAGGCAGGTAGCACGCGCCACAGGGCTTTTTACATGTGCTACGTGACCGTCCCCCGGTATAGTCATCATCATCATCATCATCATCATCATCATCATCATCATCATCATCATCATCATCATCATCATCATCATCATCATCATCATCATCATCATCATCATCATCATCATCATCATCATCATCATCATCATCATCGTCATCGTCATCATCATCATCATCATCATCATCATCATCATCATCATCATCATCATCATCATCATCATCATCGTGATCATCATCATCAGCATCAGCATCGTCATCATCATCATGATGATCATCATCATCATCACCATCATCATCACAATCATCATCATCATCATCGTCGTCGTCGTCGTCATCATGATCAGCATCATCACCATCATCATCATCATCATCATCATCATCATCGTCGTCATCACCATGATCATGATCAGCATCAGCATCATCATCATCAGCAGCATCAACATCAGCATCAGCATCATCATCACCATCACCAGCATCATCATCATCATCACCACCATCATCATCATCATCATCATCATCATCGTCATCGTCATCGTCATCGTCATCGTCATCGTCATCATCACTATAATCACCACCACCACCACCCTCCTCCCTTCACCCTCCTCCCTTCACCCTCCTCCCTTCCCCTCTCCTCCTCCTCCTCCTCCTCCTCCTCTTCCTCCTCCTCTCTCCTCCTCCTCCTCCTCTCTCTCTCTCACCTCCTCCTCCTCCTCCTCCTCTTCCTCTCCTCTTCCTCCTCCCTCCTCTCCTCCTCCTCCTCCTCCTCCTCCTCCTCCTCCTCCTCCTCCCCCCTCCCTCCCCTTCCACCCCCCCTCATTCCCCCACTGCTCCCCCCCTCTCCCGCCTCTCCCCTCCACCGCACCGCGAGCGCCCCGGCGAGCCAGCCCCATCCCGCGGCAGTGCGCTTTAGCCAGCGCGGGGGGAACGGGCGCCGGGGCTGCTGAGGCTGCTCGCGCGCGGCCAGGAGGCTGCCTGCGTGCGGCCACGGCCGGAGCCTGGGCTGGCAGAGGAGGAGGAAGAGGAGGAGGAGGAGGAGGAGGAGGAGGAGGAGGAGGAGGAGGAGGAGGAGGAAGAGGAGGAGGAAGAGGAGGAGGAGGAGGAGGAGGAGGAGGAGGAGGAGGAGGACGGAAGGGAGCGCGGGTGTGGGGCGGAGGGAGGCGGGGGAGGCAGAACATGGGGAGGGGGGGATAGACAGGGAGGGGGGAGCCGGAGCAGGAGAAAGAGGAGGAGACGAGGGCTGAAGTGGGGAGGAGGAGGCGTCGCCGTCACCGTCGCCGTCGCCGTCGCCGTCGCCATCGCCGTCATCGCCATCGTCGTCGTCGTTGTATGTCGTTGTTGTCGTTTTCTTCGGCGCTCTTGTCGTCCGTCGTCGTTTTCTTCGTCGCCTTCGTCGTCGTCGTCGTCGTTTTCTTCGTCGCTCTCGTCGTCCGTCGTCTTCTTTGTCGCTCTCGTCGTCGTCGTCATCGTCGTCGTTCTCTTCGTCGCTCTCGTCGTCCGTCGTCGTTCTCTTCGTCGGTCTCGTCGTCGTCGTCGTCATCGTCCTCGTCGTCGTCGTCATCTTTGTTGTCTTCGGCGTTGGGTAGAACGGGTGTTGGGGGAAGGAGGAATAGGATGAGAAGGGGGGCAGAAGAGGAGAAGGGTTACAATGAGGGCGGGGGGAGGGACGGGGAGAGGGATACATATGTTCCCTCCCGTTGGGCTGCTTTGCACAACGTGCGTATTGCATCCAATTTCATAGGCAGTCACATGTGAACCCCGCCTCTGCAGGTCAGACTCACGAAACGACGGCTGGCTGTCAGAATTCGGAGGGGGTGAACCCCAACGGGGGTGTCCGATACCCCAGCGTCGAGTGGACCCGTAGGGGTAGGGTTCGCAAGTGTTCGCGGAGGTTCAGGAACCAACACGACCTCGAATCATAAACTTGGGGTCACACCTAGGAGCAGTCGTGCATGTCTTTCGATGCCCCTAGCTCTACGAAACAAAGCCTTTTTACCAGAGCACCAGCTGGACAGATGTTGTTCTGTTCGTGGCAACGGCTGTTCACGACTCCAATTTCAGGCTTCGGGCCGACGGGGAGACATTATACTCCAGCCCACCGAGAATCGAGCGACAAAAACGGACCGAGGGGTGCTAACGATAACTACGAACAGAGAGCTGGACATTATCATCTTGTCGGAGCCTGATTGCCGCTCAAGCCATTCATGTGCGCCGTCTTCAAAAGTGCCGATGCGCCGCGTTCACAGTCAAAGCGTAGTTGTCGTTCTGCTTAGCCTTCACCTTCTTGTACACGTACCACGCGGCCAGGCACAGACAGATAATGATCAGAACACCGATAATGATGCTCATGTAGGAGAGCGAACGGTGCTCTCTGAACATGCTAGCCACAAGAGGGCTCGACGGCTTCGTGTACGTAACCCAGCCATCAACCTGGTAGCAGTCCTTTCAGGGTGGACCGAATACCATGCAACAGCGAATACAATACTGGGATCTGCCGACGGGGGCACGAGCTCCTCAACGCACCTTCAGGGCCCGCAAAGCCTCTCAAGCCACCCGTGGACGCCTCCAAGACGCCCAAGATGCTCTCCAAGACGAATCCAGAGGAGCTCCTACACGGCGAATGGGCCCCACAAAGCTCCAAGTGGCCACGGAGCCCCCAACGGATACCCCAGATAGGCCCTTTCGAAAAAAGGAATGCGCGTTGCCAGCGTGATCCCCAAACAGTGCGATCTTGCACTCGGAATGTGTATTGCATCCGAGAAAAATGTGTTGCAAACTATGCGGTGGCGGATTCGATGTGATGTGATGTAACATAGATGGTGCAAGCTAAGAGGTGAAACTAATTTCTGTTCGCAATGAATTGTCCACTACACTGCTCGCGCAAACATCCCACCACCCCCCCCGCAACTTGGTTTGCAAAATCTCTTGAGACCGTGACGGTGGGTACCACATGGCACTTTGCAACAACAGCGACGCCGACGACGACAGCGACAACGACGATGACGACGCCGTCGACAACGACTACGACGACACCGACGACGTCTCCAACGACTTCGACGACGCCGACAACGACGACGACGACGCCGACGACGACGACGACACCGACGACGACGACACCGACGCCGACGACGACGACAACGACGACGACGATGACGACGCCGACGACGACGATAACGACGACACCGACGACGACCACACCGACGTCAACGACGCCGACGACGACGACGACGACGACGACGGCGGCGACGACGACTACGCCGACGTCGACGACGACGAAGCCGACAACGACGCCGACGACGAAGACGACGACGACGTCGCCAACGAAGACAACGAGGAAGGAGGGAGGACGACGACGGCGACAACGACGACAACGACGAGGGAGGAGGGAGGACGGCGACGACGCGAACGACGAAGAAGGAGGAAGGACGGCGACGCCGACGACGGCAACGACGAGGGAGGAGGGAAGACGACGACGACGACACGACGACGACGACGACGACGGCGACGGAATAGGAGGGACGACGACAGGACGCCGACGACGGACGACGACGACGACGACGAGGGAGGAGGAGGAAGGACGACCACGGCGACACGACGACGGAAACGACCACGACGCCAAAGAGGACGACGACGACGAACACGAGGAAAGACAGAGGACGACGTAGGCGACGGCGACGACGACAACGACGCGGGAGGAGGGAGGACGGCGACGACGACGACGACGCAAGAGCGCGCGCGCACGCTTTTGTTGAAAATCCGTGTTGCGAAACCTCGTGTTTTTGTAGGTTTTTTGGACACACGATTTTGAAATCCTTCCGAAACCGATGGGTATTGAAGATTTTCGGCATACGCGCGCGACGACGCGCGCGCCTGCACTTCGTCCCATTTTTTGCAGGGGATTCTCGCGCCGGCACACGCGCAAGGGCGTTCGACAGATTTCGACATGAGCGCGCGCGAAGCCCGTTTGGTAGCATTTTGTGAAAATCTTGAAAAACCTATGGTTTCTTAAGATTTCGCAAGAGCTTTCGCGGAAGCTTTTTTAGCAACTCTGTGTTGCGAAACCATGTGTTTCTGTATGTTTTTTGGAAACTCGATTGCGAAATCCCTCCCGCACCGAAGGTTTTTTAAGGATTTCGGCATGCGCGCGCGACGACGCGCGCGTGTGCACTTCGTCTCATTTTCGCAAGGGGTTCGTGAACAAGTGTTGTCAGAACAAAAAATGTCACCGCATAATGTTTTTTACAATGGAACCTCAGGGGGGGAAACCGGCCTAGCTGGGATGGTATGTTTTCATATTTAGGATGGGCGAGTGTGCAGAATATTTATGAAATCGTATTATCCAAAGGGGAACCGATAAGTCCGTGGGGGGGGTAGAGTCTATTCTCTTTTTTAGAAAGGAGAATCTACGTGGTGAAATATATGTGGTGTCGTCCATGTGGTGTAATTAATCCACTTTGACTGTCTTGAAACTGTCCTCTCCACTGCTCGTGCAAACATCCCACCCTCCCACCCGCAACTTGGTCGCAAGACCTCCTAAGACCGTGACGGTAGGTACCACATTGCACTTGGCAGCAGCACCGACGCCGACGACGACAACGACAACGACGACGACGCCGCCGACACCGACTACGACGACACCGACGACGTCTCCAACGGCTTCGACGACAACGACGACAACGACGACGACGACGACGACGGCACCGACGACGACGACGACGCCGACGCCGACGACGCCGACGACGACGATGACAACGCCGACGACGACGACGCCGACGACGAAGACGACGACGACGTCGTCGACGACGACGACGACGACGAAGACGACGAAGACGACGACGACGCCGACGCCGACGCCGACGACGACGACGACGACGTCGCCAACGAAGACGACGACGAGGGAGGAGGGAGGACGACGACGGCGACAACGACGACAACGACGAGGAGGGAGGGAGGACGGCGACGACGCGAACGACGAAGAAGGAGGAAGGACGGCGACGCCGACGACGACAACGACGAGGGAAGAGGGAAGACGACGACGACGACAACGACGACGACGACAACAACGGCGACGAAACAGAAGGGACGACGACGAGACGCCGACGACGGACGACGACGACGACGAGGGAGGAGGAGGAGGAAGGACGACCACGGCGACAACGACGACGGAAACGACCACGACGCCAAAGAGGACGACGACGACGACGACGAACACGAGGAAAGACAGAGGACGACGTAGGCGACGACGACGACAACGACGCGGGAGGAGGGAGGACGGCGACGACGACGACGACGACGACGACGCAAGAGCGCGCGCGTACGCTTTTGTTGAAAATCCGTGTTGCGAAGCCTTCTGTTCTTGTAGGTTCTTTGAACACACGATTTTGAAATCCTTCCGAAACCGATGGGTATTGAAGGTTTTCGGCATAGGCGCGCGACGACGCGCTCATCTGTACTTCGTCCCATTGTTTGCAAAGGATTCTCGCGACGGCACACGCGCAAGGGCGTTCGACAGATTTCGACATGCGCGCGCGCGGAGCCCGTTTGGTAGCATGTTGTGAAAATATTGAAAAAAAAACCTGTGGTTTTCTTCAGATTTCGCAAGAGCTTTCGCGGAAGCCTTTTTAGCAACTCTGTGTTGCGAAACCCTGTGTGTTTGTACGTTTTTGGGAAACTCGATTGGGAAATCCTTCCGACACCGATGGTTTTTGAAGGATTTCTGCATGCGCGCGCGACGACGCGCGCGTGCGCACTTCGTCCCATAGTTTGCAGAGGATTCGCGAAAAAGTCTTATGTTAGAACAAAACATGTCCCCGCGTATTATTTGTTACAAGGGAACCTCAGGGGGAGCGATACCGCCCCCCCTGGGATAGTGCAAATTCATACTTAGGATGGACATGTGGTCAGAATCATATATGATTTACATACCCGACAGGGGTGGGGATAACGCCGGGGGGGGGGGGTAGAGTCGATTCTCTTCTTAGGAAGGAAAATACATGTCGTGCAACCTAGGTGGTACTACTCATGTGGTACAATATGCATTGTGTTCTCGATGTGGTATTCTCTACGTGGTTCAAGCTGTATGGTGCATTTCACGTGATGCAATTGATGAGGTGCGAGATGTGTGTGGCAAGCCAAGTATGTGGCGAACACTTTGCATGGTGCTCTCCCTCTCTGTCTCTGTCTGTCTGTCTGTCTGTCTCTCTCTCATGTTTTCTCTCATGTGTTTTTTTATTCATCGTGCTCTCTCTCTCTCTCTCTCTCTCTCTTATATATATATATATACATATATAGAGATATAGATATGTTTGTATATGTGTGCTGCAAGCGATGTGGTGCAAGCTAGACGGCGCAATACATGTGATGTCAGCTACGTGCGCAAGCTGCGTGGTGCGAGCTGTCCGCGAGGCGGCCACCAGCGGGGCACCGCGCGAAACCCGGGCAACCCCCCACGACGCACGGGGCGCCCACGAGGCACCCACGGGCGGCCACAAACCGGGCACCAACCGAAACCCCACAGCGTGCCCACCCAACACTTGGTGCATTACCGATCTCAACCACTTTTAGCTGGCGACGCGCTTCGGACTCCAGGTCCTCCTCTGGGCCAAAAGGCTGCGGTGTCCCACGCATGTGCTGTGCAGCGCGCGAGCAAGGCTGCAAGAGGTCAAGAGTGCGGTTTCTTCACCCCCGCAGCAAGAGGTCAAGAGTGCGGGTTTTTGTTTACCTCCACAGCGCGCCCACCCAATCCACGCACGTGGCACCCACGATGCGCCCACCGGCGGCCACCAACCGGGCGCCAGGCGAAACCCGGGCACACCCCTCCGCTTACTTCGGTGCCTAAGACAGGTCTGAAACGCTGAGTGCAAGCACGGCTTGGGGGGAAACTGCTAAATTCTGTTCATCCATGTGTGCCTTCCCGCCTTGTCGCTTCGATGGGTTTCTGGACTTCTGATGCCTCAAGATTCAAGATTGCTCCAAGATCGCCCAAGAGAGCTCCAAGAGGAGTCCAGAATTGCTCCAAGACGGTCCCGAAGGCCCCCCGAAGCGCCCCAAGAGCGCCCGAACAGGGCCCAAAGACGCTCTTTCGATAAATTGTCTTAAAGATAATTACACTACTAGGAAAAATTCCAATCAGTGGATGGGTAGAACATGAATGATGTTGATATTGAGATCGACTGTGGGATCTATCGTGATATCGATAGTGGGATCGCTACTGAGGACGATTGGAGGGTCGATCGTGAAACCGATGGTGAAGTGGAGCCAGCGAGATCGATAGTGAGATCGATCGTGATATCGTTCGTGCGATCAATTATGAGAACGATTGTGAGATCGATAGTGTGGTCGATTGTGAAATCGATAATGAGGTTGATAGAGATGTGGGTAGTGTGATCGATAGTGGGGCCGATCGATAAGGAGATCTACGAGGAACCCACGATACCGGAAAC